TTATGAATCGACAATGTGTTCTTCACTTTTGCCAGAGGTTGACTCCTACGCAATACAGTGAATTTAGAAAGCCATGTTTGAACCCCGAATTGCTCACCAACCTGGTACAAATTCATTAATTCAGTCAATTTTCGCACCTTTTCCGGCATCCTATCGATTTATGGTGAACTACTTTGGGCAAACTTTGTCTGAAAGATGGGTGTTCATGATATATACTACCGGTGAGGACTTTACTGTGACTGTCTTTGGGTTTGCAAATGCGGCGTTATTCACACACCATCTTCTGGAATCCAAAGTAAACCTCATAACCATTGAAAATCCCCTTCCGGCAGAGGAAACCTCCAGAACCCCCTTAAAACATGCCAAAGTCCTCATAGGAGAGAGATTTGGTCTACCGATTGTTCATTCACTATGTCCATAAAGTCCACACTGTTAGTGTACGAAAAGAGGGCTTAATTGGGGATCGACATGCCAAAGTCCTCATAGGAGAGAGATTTGGTCTACCGATTGTTCATTCACTATGTCCATAAAGTCCACACTGTTAGTGTACGAAAAGAGGGCTTACTTGGGGATCGAGGTTATGAGATTTGGAAAATATGGATAGTACTAAAGCCGCTTTATTGCGTATGAGTAGCCAGTCAGTCCTTCCAGTATATCAAAGGTTTCTGTCCTGTGTGTTTATATGACTTCGAACGCATCTCCTGGGACAGAGAAGGTGGCCCAGATACATGGGAACCGGGAGCGGATAGCTTCGTCCTTGACGACCTAATGATGTGAAGTTTGGAAGCTGTCAGACCCACCGATGACTCATTGTCGAGTGATTAGCTCTCTCCAACCAAACTGACCATTTCCTTTGGTCCGACGACACGGAATCGCATAATGACACAGAACAGGTGAACGTGATCCCAACTCAAAATGCAACAGGTCAACAATGCTCCAACGGGGCAGGTGACTTGGACGACCACCAAACCCGATCGATGGACCAGTATTTGGCTACGTCCTCCACTACCTTCTTTATAGTCGGCTGAAATCTTTCCCACACTTATTTGTTGCGAGCGCAAAAGTCTGCACTCATTGGACACGCCCGTTCTCATATAGTCCCTTTAAACGATGAATGTCGCGCACGGCCTCTTCCTCTTTGTTCTGTCCTATGGATTTCACATAATGTTCATGGGCACAAATAATTTGTTACGCCACCAAATGCCGACAGCGCACTTTCTCCCACATGATGGATCGCTGTTTTGCTCATACCGAATGCACAACTCATTTGGGAGTGTTAACAGCGATCGATAACACTTAGAGTGCTGTTTGTTGAGTAAAACTCAGAAGTTATCAGTTAAATTGTGCAAATTTAATGGTCCTCCGACTGCTTTCAGCACGTTGTTACATGTTTTCTGCGTTACCAAGTCAAAATTGATTATAAACTCAGTGAATATCTGGCTTGAATATTGCGATCGAGCGAAGAAACTCGAAGGGAAAGTGGCCCCAACTGCTTTGTCCATGTTATGAGGTTCATAGCTGATGGCTATTCTGTACCATCGACATTGATATATCATTTTCTGAGCTACTTGTTAGGAGCCTTGGTTTTGAAAAGGCAACCATGCTTATTTGACTATACACGTACATAAATTGTCTAAAATCTCTTAACACTGCCTATGAAAACTGACTGCGCTGCCTAATGTGCACATCGTCTAAAAAAGGAGAAATTTAGCCGGCTCATGCCCATTTTATTCCAAAACCCATATCACAAAAGAGCGGTCAAACGTAACCATTAGTGCTTCATTCTTGGTATCGAGGACCATCAGCGTTAGCGTGATGAAATCGGTTTTTGTCTGGCCTTATTGTCTCCAGAGAACAAACGCACACCTCAGACCCGGCAGAGGACGACCACTCTGGTTGAGACTTCCGGAAGCTTAATGGAGTTCCGTCTCTTGTGGGCTGGCTGCTTAGCGGCTTACTACATTCGCTCACTGTTCGTGACAAATTATCAGCCATCATTATAGGAAAAATAACGTAGCCAAACGAAAACATCATTTTAATTGGTCATGTAATGCACGTTAGATTCCCATATCAGCTGGGTCTGAACTTTCCCATTGTCTATCTTAGCAATTGTTTCCACTGGAAACTGCGGTTTTACTCTGAATCACTGTGTCCCGCGTGTCCCCATGAACCAGCCGATTTATTTGAAGGGTATTTTCCTTTAGGATGTGGCTCCATCACTCGGTTTGTACTGGAAACCTAGCATCGGAATTGGCGCCTGTGGTCTGCTTCTCCCATCAGATGTTTAACATGAATGCTGTTCGCCCCCTTTGCGAAAAATAACAGTCCAAAAGAAACACAACATAGCCCACAAACCGTTTCGCACATGTTAGAGCACAGTCTCCCTCAACCTTCTGTTCTAATTGAACTCAAATTGGGCAGATTTCAACAAATATACTCATTTGCCTACCAATTTAGTTTTCACAAAGGGTTCCCCTTCATCCCAGCTGAATCGCTTGTTCGCGATATTCTTCAAACGAATAGGTTTATTGGCTGAACTTGGTGCAATTTGAGTTTAAGTAGAACATAAGAGTAACGTGAAATCGGTGACCGCACCTACCTGATGAGCCCCAAAATGGGCGAAACATGTCGTTGGTTTTTGAAGCGTTTTCAGCAACCTTAAGGGTATTTTATTTCATGAAAATACATTGATATCTCCAATATCGTAGCAAATAAAACATGAGGGCGCTGTGTTCATTCATATCTATACAGCGTCTTGGACATCTTATTTCAATCCAGCGGGAAGAGCTGTACAATTATACTAGAACTGAATAGAAATCGTATTTTTCTTGACTGGAGTTCAGCTTTCCAAATCGTAAAGATCAGAAAAACAATAAGTGAGTGCACATTGCACATTCTACGCATCCAAATCCACAATGTAGAGCTTTCTACAAAATCGACACTACAAATTGACACTTGAAAAAAGAGGGTCAATGGTCAGCTATCCGGGAACCTTCGGTTAAGCAGTGAATTCAAAGTGTCACTTTCACAAAGATGATAATTCGTTTCACAGTCTTGATTATTCTTTCCTGAATTGTAGTTCGTCCTCGCTATAATGCCACTGTACCTTCTTCAAGTAAAGTGAAGGGGAGTCCAACATTACAATTCCACCAAGTCTTTGTGACTCCGGTTATCGGTTCAATCGGAAATACCTGGACAGAACGGAACGAAACTACCATTTGCATATCAACTTGGTTTTCACGGGACATTCAAGTGAATCGTTTATGATATTCTTCAACTGAATGTTCTGCATAAAGGCCGTCTCATGTTTTAGTTGGTACGACATATGACATCGCAGTATATTTTCCTCAAGGAAACTACTCACAAGGTTGCTGAAAACCTCTGAAACGATACTCCCAAGGTTGTTTGGGATAAGGTTAACCCGGGGACTGGTTCTACCTGATGAGCCCCAAGAAGGAAAAACTGGTTGTAGACTGTCAGCAAC